ACCTACATTTCTGAACCTTTAGAGCTATTTTTAATTTTTGTATTTTACAAAGTTTGCTATCGCATGTACACAAACCAAAGAAGTTAGATAATAAGAAGGGACAGCTCGTTATAATTGTAGCGAAAGTAAGTAACAGTGGCGTGCCTTCTCTTTTGCTCTAGTACGTTTCTTGATTGAATGAAAAGAGAAGGCACGCCCCTGTTACTCACTTTCGCTACAATTATAACGAGTTGTCCCTTCTTATTATCTACGTTCTTTGCACAACCAACAGCTGTTATTTCAAATGTACTTCTTGCACATTTCTGCCCGGAAAAAAACTCCGGGCTGTTTCGGGCACGAAGAAGAAGACATTTACAATCCAAAAGTGGAAGGTATTCCCTCTCTTTTACCTATTTTTCTAGCGGGAGGAACACTTTCTGGGCTGTTTTGGGCACCCGCGAGTACCCGCGGGCTCGTGTGGAACAAACCTAATATCTAATATATCTGAATCAAGGACCAAAACCAAACCGAAATTTCAAGTTGGGTACACATTTTTAAAGGCTACATCGGGTGATCAACAATTTATCGATTCGAGAAATTAATGCGCAGATGAGAAAACGAAAACTCGTATATCGAGACGATAAAGTGGCCGGAAAAAAACACCCCTTAATCTAAATTTTGATTTTAATCTTAACTTTAGAGGGGGCGAAATGCTCTGCCGCCGCCAAAGAAGTTTCACTTAAACAAAAATCCTTTTGTATAGCAAATATAAATCTTTTTATGAAAGTACCTCCTTCGAAGGGAGTTCTAGCTGGTTTTACTGGTGGTACATCGCCTTCACAGCCACTCCAAGACATTGCTGCTACACGGCGGTTTTCGCGCCGCATCGTCTCAGAATCGCTAATTTTTTCATCCACCAAAATTTCACTGCAAAAAAAATAAATTTTAGTATTTAAAACTGCACGACCACCAGCTCACTTACTAGAGAGTTTCTTTAATTCTCTGGAACGTAGGTCGTTTAGACGGCTCATGCGCCCAGCATTGTGACATAAGCGAATACAATCGCGGCGGACAATCTTTTGGCAACGGTAAACGTTCGCCATTTTCCAATTTGGTAATGACATCACTATTTTTGATACCCTGAAATGGCTTAACACCCAGCATAAGAATTTCCCATGCACAAACACCTGCAAATTGAAAATAGTTATATACTATGCACTGATTAAATATACATATGTATGCATCTATATCGGCAATACCAAACATCCAAACATCGCTTGCGTTTGTAAATCTACGAAAGTTGATCGACTCTGGCGCCATCCACTTTATTGGCAAAATACACATGCTCGAATGGTAATATGATTGATCCGACACCCAACGTGAGAGACCGAAATCAGCAAGCTATGCATTAAAAACACACAATAAACTCAATCAAACGAGCAAATCAACAAAATTGTTAGACACAAAAAAATTTTAAACTTTTATACTTAATCAAAATTTGTGTATACATAAATAACGTGTTTTACCTTGATACACGTCGGCGAACTCACAAGCACATTTCGTGCCGCAATATCTCTGTGTACGAACTTCTTAGATTCCAAATAACTCAAAGCTGTGGATAACTGGTAACAATAGAGGAGCAGAGTGCCACGCTTTAGCCTAAAGATAGAAAGTTAAAAATAATTAATAAGCATGCGTTGCTATCCGACCTCGGATGTGAACTTTCGTGTTGAGTTCAGCGATGGATGGGATAGATATTGTCGTTGGCTTAATAAACAATGGAATTATACAGATTTGTCGCCCACAACAACTATTGCCTATTGGCGTGATCTTGAAGGCGCAAAAATTGAACATATTCTGATGGCGGATTTGTATTTTGACAACTGGTTGAAGACGCGCTTGAATGAGGGTGCATGCTTGCCCTTATTGTATGCAGGTGGCAATCGTTTTATAAGGTTGGAAAAGGATTTTCCAGCTGGGTTCAGATGCGCTCCTTTGCCAATGAATCTTAAGGAATACAGAGAAATGCAGGCCATAGTAAAAGGTATTTAAATCTGCTTTCGAAAGTTAAGGGAAAAGTAATCTTATATAATGAGATTTTACAGTAGTTAGGTCATGATATCATTTACAGAGCACCGAAATTGCGCTTATGGAAACTTTGCATTTAGACATTATTTCGGTTTCAACCGAAACTGTGCATGCATGCTTTACTTCGTTTTTTGTCATATGCATTATTTCGGTGTTTAGTTATTCGTTTTTTTTATTACCGTTATTAACACAATATAAAAATTTGCTAGCCAGTAGCTCGTTTCTGTAACTCTTCTCTACCGATTATTTCTCTACTGGTAGAAAGTATACGTCAATGATTCCCAAAGTGGTCCAGGTGGACCCCCAGGGGTCCACGGGAGACTCAACGGGGGTCTAGGTTGGCGTTAAAAAAATATGGGGGTCCATGAGTTGTAAGTAGCGGTCCACGAAAATGCATCTGGTTTCGATAGTAAAGAATGAAAATAGTTGCTTGATAGCCTCTTCATTTAACTTTAATTTCTTCGAGTGGTATATAGTGCTCTTGACGCACTGCCGCACTTACCGTCACTTTGTGCCTTCATACGTGGGGAAGGCCACATGCAGACTAAAAAGAAACGGATGTTGGTCTGACACTGAGTGAGGCGAGGAGGAAATTGCTGGCGGCACAGATTTGAGCACTTGTGTCTATAATTCTGAGTTCCCTGAGGGGGAATGCTTTTTTAATTCCAACACTGAGTCCGAACTCACACACTGACTCTGGGCCAGGATCTGGGATCTTTTTCGAAGTTAATGGGGATAAACTTCACTTTCTCTTACGGAATATGCTTCGGTCTTTCAGCTGAAGTAGTTGCAATCCAGTTCGACCACAAACACCGTGACCCGATATTTTTATATATAACATTTTTCATACAAATTTACTAAAAATTCTAAAATAAAAAAGTTTAGACAATTATTTTAGGATATGGATACCCTAATCGCCAAATCCCAGTACTCTATCGTGAACATTGCTAGAGATGTGCAGTATGAATAATTCGTTTTGTATGGGAGGAGCCACGCCCCCTTTTCCAATAACCACAATTTTTCTCCATGACTATGCGGTTGCTTTCATTTATCTCCATACCATGTTGAGTCCTCTTCCATGACCATTTTTCGGGAAATGCAGAATGAAAAATTCGGTTTGTATACATACATGTATGTATGTATAGCATGTGCCACGCCCCTTTTTCAAATAGCCCCAATTTTTGTTCATGACCTTGTGATTGATTTCATACATCTCCATACCAAGCTCTAGTACTCTACCATGAACACTTCCAGAGATATGCAGTATGAAAAATTCGGTTTGTATGGGAGGTGTCACGCCCCCTGCACCTAGCGGTGTGAAATATTCTTTACCAACCATATATGCACAAAAAATTTCATAAAGATCGGTCAAGTCGTTTAGGAGGAGCTCGACCACTAACACCGTGACACGAGATTTCTATATATTAGATTTGTCATTCCATTGATGCGAATTTCATTTCTGTTCTGTTCTGTTTTGCTGGGCGAAATGTTGCGGCGAATATCACCCGACGGCATCGCTGTGACCGACGAAATTCGCACAGCGATTTGGATCTGTTTATACCAGAGACCCAAAATAATTATTACGCTAATATTTGAGATCAAAAACGTCGGCTTGTTTTAAGAGACACTTTTTTCGTCTTTGTATAATAATTATTTACGAGAAATATCTTTTTTCGTCTCGCGGAACGATTATTTTCAGATGGAAGTTGTTTACGTCTTTTCATTCGTTTTCGTTTATTTCAAGACAAAAATTATTTACATCTTTTCATAATAATTATGTTGACTTTTATTTTTTCCCATCTGGCGGGACGTTTATTTCAAGACGAAAATGATTTACGTCTTCTCATAATAATTATGTGGGACTTTTATTTTTTTCATCTCTCGTGACGTTTATTTCAAGACCACAATGATTTGCGTCTCACGTTATCTCTTAATAGAATCGGTATATGTACTGCCGATTTCACGAAATTAAACGCAAATATCTCCGAGCTCGATTATTGGAAATCGATTTGCTAACACCTGACAACCCTTTTCAAAAAACGAAAACCACATAAAAGCAAAGCCCTTTAATTTGACTAAGAAATTAAGAAGTTTCGTTCCAATAAAAGTCCCATATAATTATTAACAGAAAGTAAATCATTTCCGTCTTGAAACAAACGTCCCGAGAGGCGAAAAAAAAACAAAAACCCCATATATGTACATAATTATTATGAGAAGACGTAAATCATATTCGTCTTGATATAAACGTCCCGAGAGACGAAAACAATAATAATCCCATATAATTATTATGCGGTCGGTTTAGTGGTAAGCAGTGCGCGCTTCCACTCCGCAGAGCCTGGGTTCAAGCCCTGGCCAAAGCAACATCGCAAAAAAAAAATTAGAAAAAAATGTTTTTTCTTAACAGCGGTCGCCCCTCGGCATGCAATGGCAAACCTCCGAGTGTATTTCTGCCATGAAAAATTGCTTTTCATAAAAATACAATCGCCGTTCGGAGTTGGCGTAAAACTGTAGGTCCCTCCACTTTGTGTGACAACATCAAGGCGCACGCCACAAATCGGAGGAGATGCTCGTCCTAACACTAACATATGTATAAGCGCCAATCTATTATTATTATTATTATTGATTATTATGAAAAGATGTGAATCATTTTCGTCTTGAACGTTCCGAGAGACGAAAAATATAAAAAGCCCATATAATTATTAGGTTTGTTCCACAAGCTACTTGTAGAAAAACTCGAGCAAAGTTCAAACTGTCAGCGTATATCAAATAAACTCTAAATCTTACTTGTGAAACGCGTATGTGTAACTCGAAGTGACTTCGAGTAGCTTGTGGAACAAACCTATTATGAGAAGGGGAAAATAATTTGCATCTTAAAATAATCGTCCCGCGAGACGAAAAAAATAAAAGTCCCATATAATTATTATGAGAAGACGAAAATAATTTACATCTTAAAATAAACGTCCCGCGAGACGAAAACAACTTTTCCATTGGTCAGTAATAATTATAGAACAATATTTAATTTTGTTTCTTATAATCGTTATGATCTCTGGGGTATACTTGAATTTTTGCTGGTAAAATCTGGTAAATGTGTCAAACGGCTGTAGTGAGTTTGACAACCAATTTGTAAACAAAAGAAAAGTGCACTCTGCTAGTACATGTTGAAAAGTATTTAATTACTAGCTTAAGTTCTAATGAATTTGAAAGTACTTTTATAGTTATTTACACGTGTGAGCTGAATGTGTTTTTATATAAAACAAGCAAAAATTTACAACAATTTGGAGGTTATGTTGATGTTGTCACAAGTTACCATTTTTACTAGAAAGCGGTCCCGTACAGTACTACTCTCTCGCGAATTTTATTTTTTGCCAGTTTTACTAGTTTTAGTCCGAGGAATACGGAATTGGACCTAAAATTTGTTTATTTTCAGAGGAGGAGAAAACGAATAAAAAGGGCAAGAAAGGTAAAGGTGGAGAGAAAGGAAAGAAGGACAAAAATGAAGACAACACTCAAAGAAAGTAGCGAAATGAACTCGTGGAAAATTTAAAGGAAAAAGAAACTCTCACAGGACCCGGCAATCTAGATTTACATCAGATCAACACTTCACCTAAATTGTATTCTCATAATTATCCTATTAAAACAAAAACAATGACACTAAAAATGGTCGTAGTTGAAAAGGAAACAAAAAACCGGCCGTCTTCACGTGCTGGAAAATTTCGTTTGCGTGACGACGCATTTTTGTTTTTTGTTTTAGAAGCGATGGCTCCTTTAAATGGTCGGGAGTTTTTCAGCTAGCTCCCTAACACCAGGTTATACATGTGTTGACGTCTTTTTTTAAGACGATGTTAAAATGTATGCAGCTTGCTTGATGAAATGCCAGCGTAACTGTTGAGGTGAGTTTCCGAGCAAGAATTGGATGAGTTAACAAAAATGAACAAAAAACAATAATACTTATGATATAATACATACATACAGAAGAATACATACATTGACAGGAATGTTATTTTAATATACACCCTCCAGTACTGCTGAAGTCAATCGCTACTTTTGAACCGCTACTGCACCGACTCCTAGGTAAGTAGCTACTCTATTAACCCGTGGTAGTGCACATGGTAGTGCAGAGTCGAACCAGTCGTAAGTAGAATAGCGTCTAGAATTGCAAACCTATTTCTCCCCCAACTTTTGAGGTAAATTTCCTTGGCTTCCCTTTTCGATATCTTTTTAATCGCCATTATTTCAACTACTTTCAGCTCTTTTTCCCACACCGAACATTTATCTCGACGTGGTCCTCATTGCCGCACAAAACACACTTGCTCTTCTCATTGCACTTTTTTTCGCATCCATTTTCCCTCCCACATATGATGCACCTTGACTGCGCTTTACACGAGAGCTTTGTGTGGCCTAACCTTCCACAATTGTAACATTGTCTTGCTTTTGGAATGTAGTGATTTATTTTGAAACTTACAAAAAAGATTTTTATAGACTCTGGGAGCTCGTTACCTTCAAAACCTATTTTTATTGTGAGTGTAGGAATGAGGTTTTCTTTGTTTTCCGCGTCTCTTCTCAAAATGCGCTTAACTGATGTGACTTTGAAATTGCTCTTAATGTTGGCCATGATTTCTTCATCCCTAAATGACGTTGGGACTTGTATTACCATCCCCCCAAGTCTCAGTGAAGCTTTTGGGAATGAAGGCCCTTATGTTGTTGTCAATCAGTTCGGCATTTTTGAGTGAGTTATTCGCATGTTCATGAGTCTCGAAGGTCATTTTATACAAGGACTTTCCAATGGCTTTAATATTTTTCGGTTTGTCTATATTGAAATTACGAATCTTATCCCACAGGAAAAGCCCGTTTTTTAGGGAATCGTTACTAAACAGCTTGCTCGCTGACGTGTCAATTAAAACGTTAAATTCAGCTCTATATGTCTCCGTGTATTTATTTGTTGGTCTTTGTTCCCTGGTCTCAGTCAAATTGCTTGCTGGGTTTATTGTTGCTTTTTGGTATGTACCTTTCGGCACTAGCATGCCTTGCATTGGTATGCGTGTGTGTGTACTGTCCCAGCAAGAACGACCTAACGCATTCTCCAATACACTTAAAAATTGTCAATAAAAACCAACACATTTGCATATTAGCGATATCCATATGCCATTCTTTGCGTTATATAACACGTTATTAATCGCATAATAATATTTGATTGAAAAGAGACCACTATATATAGGATAATATAATAGCGAATTCCATATAAAAGAAAGAGAAAACTGCTCACACGGGAAACGATTATCCGTTAGATTTCTCCTGGAGCCCTATGTAAAATGATGAAAAGTTTTGGAATTTCTCACACAAACTATTTGTAGTACTAGGCGTATATAACGCGTTATTTAACAGATAGGGTTCTTACTGGGGTCCTTCTTTGACTTTTGGCATTGTACCCTTTTAAAAGTATCGTCCGTTTCTGATTCCGTTAGGTCTGTAGTGTCCGTCTGTCCCTCAATTCTGGAATTTTCCGTGTTCAAATTTTTCTACATTCTTTTTCTGCTTTTAATTTTTTTAACATTTTCTGTCCCGATTATAATTTGTGTAATCAGACTTTTGTCTGGCGGTTCGAACCTTCTTGTTTGGCGACATTTTGCAAATGAAAATGTATGCTGTCGCATTCCCACTCAACAAAACTCTATCTCGCTTCCAAGGTGAATTAACCGTGATGCGAAACACATACACAAAATCAGCTGATCTATACTCTAAAAAAAAAAATTTAATTTCCTAGCTAAAAATAAGGTTACTGATTTCCTTCCTTATTATTCGCGAAATTACATGCTCGATTATTCAACGAATAGTTTGTTTAAATTTCTGACTTTTTAGAGTGTAATATAGCTGTTGTGGTGTGCGTAAATTTACTACGAAAGTATGTACAAGCTACGAAATACACAGTTGCAGTTTAATTTCACCCGTAGAGTTGTGTAAAGCCGCTAACAAAAAGCATTTTTACACACGAAAATGTGTAAACGAGAAAAATACATATTCATCGCGTAAATTTACCAAAAAATTTTAAAAGTAAACAAAAATATACTCAATTTATAGTTCGCCTTACTCGCCTCCGAAAAAAAAGTAGAACGCAAACGAGAGTTTCAAGCAATGTGAAGACGGCGGGTAATATGTAACAAAAATTTACAAATTGTAGAACAAAAAAATATACCGAGAACAAAAATATTAATGGCTGAGTGGAAGATCGACCTATCTCGGCAGCCAGTTCGAAAGCGCTCTATCTCAGAAAACTTTTCAAAATCGCCCTACTTCAGAATTTGATTTAAAAACGCCATATCAGACTTTAGTGGAAGAAGGCCCTATCTCAGCTGCCGATTCAAAAACACCCTATCTCAGCTTATTTTCAACGTATTTACCTTTGAGATAGGGCGTTTTTGAAAGGAATTATGATTTAGGGCGTTATTCAACCAAATTCTGAGATAGGATGTTTTTCAATAAAATTAGGAAATAGAGCGTTTTTAATCAAATTCTGAAATAGAGCGTTCTTGAAAGGCTTTCTGAGATAGGGTGTTTTCGAACTGGCTGCCGAGATAGGTCGATCTTCCGCTCAGTCATCGATATACAGACATTTGTTGAAGATACATACTTATAGGTATATTTTTAATCAACTTATTTCAAGGCTTTGTGCCTAGATTTGTACAGCTAATTACTAACGTCTTCCTGTTTTCACCCATCACTGAGATTTCAAACACAAATTCATTAATAAAAAAGTGCAATACATACTTCTTGCTGTTGGTCTTCAAATAGGCTCGGAGTTCTCCATGACGTGCTAGTTCCATAACAATCCAAATTGGTGACTCACTGCATATACCAATTAGCCTTATTATATGTGGATGGTCGAATTTTTGCATTATATCTACAATTTTAAATAAAATAATGCTTAAAATATCAAACCCATATATTGATTGCATACATGCTTCCTCTAGAAATTGCTCCATTTTTTGTGGATCATCGCTTGCTTTGCACGTTTTGACTGCCACTTGAATTACAGACGATTTCATTTCTATATTACCCAATATATTTGGCTTGGCATTCTTCTTAGCCTTCGGAAAGTATGTGCCTATATGAACATCACCAAACTGGCCAACACCAATTTTTTCATTGAGATTTATCTGAGATCTTTCTAATTCGTAATTTCGAGCTAAAATACGATTTTTTCAATATTTATTTGTGGGTTATTATTCATTCTTTCATCTTGTAAATTCTTAATAAACATACCCGTTGGCGTAGAGTAGTCTCCCTCTTCATCTATTAGACCTATTTCAGCGTAATCTTCAGTTAAGGTGGGCTTTGGTTTTCCGCAAGTTTGAGTAGTCGCTCCACCGTCCGTCGAATCTCCGCTGTTGTTCTTTGTCTTGACTATTCCGTTATTTTGTTTCTCCTTTAAAGCTGCTGTCGCTGCATTTAAACCATTATTTATACTATTACCGTCGTTCCGTTCCCATATAGAAACATAACTGCTACCATGGATTAAACAGCAATATCCGTCAATAAGATCGGCAATACTTTCAGCCGTCTAAAAAGACAAAAATTAAAGTGTTATCAAAGGCAAAAATGATTAGGGCTTTGTTTAATATAAGCTTACATTTATGCCATCACATGTTATGACTAAGTCTTCATCGTTGCTTCGAGTGGTTATTCTCAGTTGAGTTTTCACTTCCCAACATTTGCATGGATCATATTTGTCTTCTGCATTAGTAGCATTTGGAAAAGGTTTTTTGGATTCTTTGCTAACATTATCTCTGGGTATAGCAAGTGTTACAATTTTTATTATGTCTTTGAATGTTGCGACGCCAGTCAGGTCAGCTTGTGGATGAGTTTGATAGGAAATTCCTAAAATATTTAACGAAATATTTTTAATTTATGAGCACGCGATGTTGTTTTGAGAGAGGTACCGATTTGTGGACCGATGTATAGAATGCCGGATATATTCCATGCTGAGCTTAATGTTACTGAAAACTTTTCGTAACTATTAATTTTACATGATTGCAGAAGTTCAAAAAACCTAAGAAATTTTTTTAAAAATACATATATTTGTACAAGTTGTATATATTCAGATTGTACATATGTACATATTGAAATAGTAGCAAAATTCAAAATTATATTTTTTCAGCGGTGCAGATGGAAGCCGAACTGAAAATCGCAGACGACCTCAGAACCTTCCTACACAAGCATAATTTCGATATCCCTAGACATAATTACGTCACAAAACTCACTCGTAATCAAATCATTAAGTTAGCCAGTCTTCGGACAGGCACTACACTCTTTAACACATCACAATTTTTCACCAAAACACTTCCACGATCATGCTCTTTTTGTGCAACAACCCTCACTATAGAGCATGTATTAACAACCTGCCCTACCTCGTTATTAAAAAAAAGCATCAAGGAAATACTAAATTGCAGGAACAGCAACATTAAAGAAATAGAGGAAGCACCTCGTAAACATCACCGCAATGAAGAAACTTAACAAAATACACATATGTATTCTAAGGCGCTCAATGACCTCCGGTGACGTCCGGTGCCTATATCATACTTTGCAAATTCATTTGCAAACTATGCTAAATAAATAAATGATATTTTTTCAACTTATGCTTATTTATTTTGAATAATTTGTATTTAAAATTTATTCCGATCTGCATAGAAATCACATACAGTAACGAACAAAAGTATTGATCCAATAATCAACGCGATTTTTTAGCAACTAGCAAACTTTTGTTAACTATATTTAAATTAAATAAAGTGTAAGTATCAAGTTACTAAAAATTAACCTTGATTTTTTAGATTTTTTTTTTTGTTGTGCAGGTGTTGGGAATTTTCTTCCATATAAAAATTTTCTTCCGACAAAAAAATTCTAAAAAATCAACGGTAATTTTGAGTTACTTGAAACTTGTGCTTTATTATCATTAAATTTAATGGGCTACAAAGTTGCATACTCGAAAATTAAACAAAAAAAAAACTATGAATAAAAAGCTTGCATTTTTTATTACTTTTTTTTAACTTTAAATTTTAAAATAGTTAAAAATAAATAATAAATAAACTTAATTGGAGATGGCGTTTTAAGCTTTTTTGCTGGCCAATTAATTCTTATAAAGAATTAGGAAGTAACTTTAAATTACAAAAATAAAAAATAAATAAATAAACATAAGTTGCAAACAATACCATTTGAATTTTGCTACTATTTTATTGCCCGCAGCTGTATGTACATACACATGTTAGATCAGAAGTTTGGATTTTTTCTTACTTGCTTATGTATTCAATATCGGTGAAATTATACACTTTCTTGTATCCAGCTTGAATTAATTTTTTCAAATTCTTTGGCTTTACTGAACTTATCACAGATTTAGGAAGAAAAGAATTTAAACCAATTTCCTTCTCAACATAGTCAATATGATGTTTTTTATCTGGGGCTTTGATGATCGTATTTTTAAAGTAATGCCGGATACTTAAACAACATAACAGTATCGCCGTATCGACATCGATTGAGGGGTCCGACAAAACGTAATCTTGCTTGGCCTAAATTAAAAAGGAAAAAAGTTATATAGCTAAGGTTACATAAATATGTCACTTACTTGATCAAAATAATATAAACAACTTGTCTTATCCTCCTCATAGAATTCAGCCAAACTATTTGGAATGTAACGTATCCGTAGCTCAGCCCGCCAAACACTATTTACCGAATTTCTATTGCTACTCTTCACTCTTGTATTTTCATAATTGGAACACTCAAGATTTGGACAAATCGGATACCATATGTATCTCATGACCTGATTCATTCCCGTTGACCTGGTCATCCATAATATTTCCTTTGTTACAACGTTATTCAATCGGAGAGCATAAAAATGAGCATTCGGCATATGACCTGGTATTAAACTACGCACAGCACGTTCTATTACATGCTGTACAGTATCGTTTGCCTCGTTGATATTGATAGGCCGCATGCCTTTGTTGGGCATGTGTAAATGCAGAACCATTTGTTCTAAATTATGAACGAAAATTATTAAAATAAGATTTTACACAACATAATTTCCGAGCTTTCTTGCCTTCATTTTGCAACGAAGGAACCTGCTGAGTAGCAAACCCGCACGAAGCTTGTGATTTCGACATTAGGGTGTATTCTAAAAAAAAAATAAATGAAAGTATTTTAATTAACATGTAGATATAAGTATGATTAGCTACCATAGAATTGTTCATAAGCATAGAGATGACATGCATTGAATTAGTTTAAAAGGAGAAACAATAGGAGCCTAGTTATTGTCAATTATAATTTGATTCAAATACCTGATTATACTATTATGTGTAAACACGAAATGTCGATTGTGCTATGTTTGGTGGGTGCCGGCGTTTTCATATATTATTATCATTCTAATTTTTTCGCTATTCCGTTTCCTATAAATATGTATGTATAATTAAATCAGCGTTCCAAAGCTTATACATATATACATATTATGTATAAACGCACGGTGGTATAAACGTATACGTATGCCGATACATATTTTTGTTCACATCATCTCGACAACAACAAATACCATTTGCTTTATTTCAATGATGATATGTTATTACACCCACCTAATCATGAAATGGAAATAAACGTGTTGGGCAAGCCATGTTGTCTCACTTTTAATTTATGCCAACGAATTCGGCATTTGTGCATACATTCCGTTGAAATTTCGACATCGCAAAGCATAACCCTAATTCACTAAGCTAGATACAAAAAAAAAACTAAAGGTGCTTGCACCCATTTCACATATCAATATATATGCATATGTACATACATATGTTTTTGGGTACATGTGAATTCGTATGAGACCATCGGACCACTTGCGATTCACGCCCAAATTTAGCATTGAATAAGTTATTTTCCTCAGTTCACAATACATATTTTAAACAGTTTTCTTAACCTTTTAATCCAACTTGAACATGTTTTCCACTTTACCTATAATACATCAAGGTGTTGTCAATCTTACATATATAGTGAACGTCGCATTTCCGATTTCACCGCCTCTATATTTGTTGCACACATAAAAACCGCATTATTAAAGTGTTCTATTGCTTAACACCACTACGTAGCTACTTTCTAGAAATTTAGAGAAGATATTTATTTATTAGAGAAAATATTTGATAAGTAGGTATATTTGTTACCAAACAGATTGATTAAACTCAATGTTACCACATGGCTGTGATTTTATTGACAGTTGACCGTACAGGGCTACCACAGTTTTTAATTCGCACTTAAACTGTTGCCAGTCAGATGCCATAAATGAAATAATGACATCTTATTTGTGAAAATTCTCGTGTTTTTGTTCTTGGTTAATGATACATTCTCCTAGGTGGAGAATGTTTTTCCCAGCATTGAAGTCGCGATTCCAGCATGTACCACATTTTTGACAAAACTGGTACCTGTGTGGCGATTTGGACGTCAGGTTTACGTTGTAACACTTGGCGCAAAGTTTGGTTGTCCAGAATTCATTAACCATCAGAATATCTGCTTGCCGTTGTTTTAGTGCTGCGATTAGTAACCGATTTGGTGTACGCCTATATCCGCGTATTGGCGAGTTCGCAGCAATCTCTGTTGATCCGATGCAGATTAACGTTTTCTCTTCTTTGTTTGGTACCAATTGTTGCGCAATTTGGTTGCAGGCTTTTTGTCGGCAAATGTATTTCTTCAGCTTCAGCCGAGCCACCATTCTTTGCGAGAAAATTTTTTGTTTTTGCTCCAGTATTTCAAGTTCAAATTTACAGTATTCACGGAAGTTCGATGAATTCGCAATTCTTATTGCATCGTGAAATCTTTCGTATATTTATGTAGATTTATTTTGTGAGAATGGAAACCAGAAAGGTGTTGAGAGTACAAATTTTTGATTTTCACAGGAACATTGTTCTGGATGCCAGCTAAAATTAGCCGACACCCAGGATCTAGCCAATCTTGTTGTCGTATTTTGTTCCGCGTATTTTTATTAGATTACCTTCACAATCGGTTTCATTTGGTTTCAGTTTTCGTTTTTTTGCGTTTGGTTTCATTTTGTATTTTCTTTTCCATCGAAAATGATACCGACACTCCATCGGTTACAAGTGAAGAAAACGTGTGATCTTTGCTATCTCTAACTTTTACCTTTAACTTAATAAATGGTGTGATCGATTGCCCTACGCTCCTAGAGCAGGTCAACTTCAATGCTCCTCTAAGGAATCTTCGCAATCCTCTGCCGTTTTATGGAGGAAATTGTAAAACGCAGTATGCCAGAAATGCTCCTATTTCAAGAGCTTTAAACGAATTCAACACGATCTCGAATTCTATCGAACTGGATTTCTTTCTTCCAAAAAGTTTATTTATTTTATCTTTGGTCTCGAAACTGTAGAGTGCTTTATGTTTTACACGTATCGTCTAAGTAGCTAAATTTTCATCTCATCAACGTCTGTCTCATATGACTGCAATAAATTACAAAAAAAAAATAATAATAATTTTTAAAACATTATTTGCCAAGGCATAACTGTTTTGCATCCTATACATTGCCATATTATAAACTCATGACACAAAACACAGTTTAGCTGCTTGGGCAACTTTCCTGGGTTATGTCGTTATGCCATGGGTTTGGATCTGCTACGCTAGAGCCGGATGGGTGGCTTTTTTTTCGAACAATCTGTCTTCTAACAGCTAATTGGTCGAAAAGAATCTTCGGTTAGATATACTCATAACAAGCATGTACGTGGAGATTTATAACCCACCACCATTTCTTGTTACAAATATAAACACTTCATATTTTTGATAACAGCGATTTGACAACTCAATTTCCAATGATTTTTCCACAATATATGTCAAAGACTTAGTAATAATCTCCAGAACTTGCTATCACCCAGTTTTAGTAGTATGGTTTATAATATTTAACCAAATGTTTATTTAATAATATATATATGTATATATTTTAATATTGTCTGTATTCCAGAAAGTTACAATATCTTTTTATGAATAACAGAAATCAGAAAAAATAGAAAAATCAGAATTTGAAACACGAACTCAATGAATTCTTGAAATTACATATAGTAAAGTATAAAAGGACTAAGTGGTGATACCACAATACTTCCCTTCCTCCAAATGTCATTAAGAAATAAATATATATACAGTTCTAGAAAATTACTTCAGAAACTACCTGGCGTTTTTGACAAAAACTCTGAATCCTCATGTCACACAGAGGCCAGATTTTGAACATTTTATCGTTATACGTAATTGCAAGACTATTTAGTTTAGTTGTATGATCTATACATCTCTGCAGAAATATGCATTATATAAGTTTCACTATGTAAAGGAGGACCACGCCCCTGGACTGATTTCATATACTATCTCCATACCAAGTTCTAGTATTCTACTGCAAACTCCTCTTCATATGCAGTATGAAAAATTCAGTTTGTATGGGAGGTGCCACGCTCACAAGACATATCCGAATTAATTTTGGTCTATAACCATGCTTGGAAAGTCGGAAATAGGTGTTCAAAACTTAAAAAAATCGGAACGGCTGTTCTCAAGCTTTTCGAACAGAAAAAACCGGCTTTCAAAAAAATTGTATTTATTAGTATAGACGTGCCCGTTGTACTAGAAAAGCGACAGCTAAGGAAATAGCTGTATAAATCCATCAAATAACAAACCGTTATACTCACTGTTAATAATTTGATTAACTTACTCTTTTTCTACTTTAAAATGGCGGGTATTTTAAGGCAAAGTGCAATAATTCAAGAAAACATCGCAGCTTTTCATGTGGGCCACTTCTAATGTGAAAAGTTGATTTGTAAGTGTCCAAATCCGGTATCCCCAGTTATACCTATTTATCTTTTATTCTATCTCAAGTGAAATTAATACCAGTAGGTGCAAACTTATTAAAGCAACTTCGTTTTAATAATAATAATACACTTTTAGACGTGGGTTGAATTGGTGTCGTTTATATAGTACAGAGAGCGCAAATGGGTTAATACTACTACTAATAATAACTTATAACAGGTTCATTCCTTATCTTTTTGGACTAAAATCTGGAAAGTGTCAAAATGCCAGAGCGTAAGTAAAATGCGCTCACTAAAAGAGAATAACAGGAAAAGTAAAGCAACGCAAAAACCCAAATTTTTAGTCCAAAGAATGGCAACAACAAAACTAACGTCAAATAAGAATGGAAATGTATGTACAAAACACATTCACACAAGCACAAGCACAATAAACACTTAGTATAACAATCAAGGCGTATTTAACAAGGTGGTGTTGGCCGTATATAAGTAAAAAATTACACTAACAAATAATACGCTGATGTCCATACTGTCATTGGTATGAGTTACAACAAACACATCATTTTGACGTAATGGCCTCCACGGCGAAAAACTCAGCTGGCGCCCCAACACCACCTTGTTTAATACACCTTGATAACAATTATCTTTTGCCTCCTTCCAATTTCAATTCACTTTTTTTACTTTTGAGATTATTATCACTTTTTGCGTATTCTTTAATTTCCGTTAATTTAAAATCAGTTCAGTTTGACACTTTTCAGGATTTTGCGAGAAAAAATTCTTCCGACTATGTGAATACTTCGGACTGATGAGAGTCACTCTCACTTGTTGCGTTCCAGATGCTTCACGATATTCACGATTTGCAGGAATAGATGTTTTCTTCATTAGTCTGCGTTCAAACACGGAAACTCGAGTTTCTTATTATCGGCGATTTCTCTTTTGGTGTTGCCCTTTGCATTCACACACAGAAACTCTTTTGTACGCAATTGTTGTTGTCAGCTGTGAATCGCCAACTTGAAATACTCAGACGAACGAGAGCACAAAGCGTGTTTCCCGAGTACGGGCGACTCGGTACCCGTCCCCTTTCCTCCTCGCTCTCTCCCCAACAAGCTTCGAGTTTCCGCAACAAAAGTTTTCGTGTCTGAACGTCGACTTAGTAAACCTTATGGGAGGTGGTCACCTGGAACGACTTCCTGTAAAAACCTGTAAATCGTGAAGCATCTGGAACGCAACTACTGAGTGTTGATCTCTAATTTTTGCTGTTATTTCCGAGTTAAGGAACGCTTTTTGGCCTAAATCTGACTACTTCGGACTTTTTTGGCTATTTCTGGGAGATAAGGAACGCTCCTAATATAAAGCACTCACCAAATTTTATATATGGTTTCCACTCCATGAATTTTCTTGCACTTTTAACCCACAAAACGTATAGTAGCAATCGCGTGAAAATCTAGAGATGTAAAAAGACATCGATGAATCGAGCAATAGCGATGGTCGTGGCTTCAAGCATTAACTCGTGTCAGCGGAGCTCGCTTGAAATGCAAGTGTTTATATGCAAATCAAGAGATTAGTCGATCGGACACACTTTCAAATAGAGTTTATCCCGATGCAACTCTGTTAATACATGTATCAATTCTTGAAAATAATTAACATTGAAAAATAATAATTAAAGACTCAAACAACCTTGTAAAAATGCATCATAAATGATGATAAATGAAAATAACGAAATTCTTACATTTGGGGTGCTAAAGGCAGGAACCGTAAAATGAAAAAAAATTAATTATAAATGTTTGGCTTAGGAACAAACGTTAAAAACGGACGAACAATGAAGAACAAACGACGAACTATCGATTGCAATAATAATTAACCCAAAATAATCTGTTGCGGGGGCTAACTTCAGGAATTACGTAAAGTGAAAATTGAAAAATTAATTATAAATTGTTGGCTAACGAACAAACGTTAAATATCGTTATCGATTGCAATACAAAAATCGTAATATTTTCACAAATGGGGTGCTAACGTCGGTTGGGTAATATGGTAGCATTTGATCACTGCTTTGCCGACGAAAGGAAATGACCACTGAACCATAATTGACATATCTCTCTTTTTTCTTCTACTACCATGGCGGTGGGTGTTTAGAAATTTTTCAATCCATTTAAATCAATTCTTTTAATATAATTACACCTAAAATGAGTTGTGAATTTCCCAGATTTTTAGTGCTTTATATCCATTGCAATCATATTTCTTCAATTCAACTATGTTTTCATGGATTAATTGGTGTTTTCTTTTCATGTAAAGAATGTCAAGAAAATCAAACGCGATCCTGCTAAGAACCCAATGCGGGAGCTTCACATCAGGAAACTATGCTTGAACATCTGCGTCGGTGAATCTGGTGATAGACTTACTCGTGCTGCTAAGGTAATATGGATTTTGCAATTAGTATTCTACAGTTTGTTGTAATTAATGTGAACCAAATGTCTATGTAGGTGCTGGAACAACTGACAGGTCAACAGCCAGTTTTCTCAAAGGCCAGATATACTGTTCGTTCCTTTGGCATTCGTCGTAATGAAAAGATCGCCGTCCACTGCACAGTGCGTGGTGCAAAGGCTGAAGAAATTTTGGAACGCGGCCTGAAAGTGCGTGAATACGAGTTGAGACGTGATAATTTCTCTGCCACCGGCAACTTCGGTTTTGGTATTCAGGAACACATTGATTTGGGTATCAAATACGATCCTTCCATTGGTATTTATGGTCTGGACTTCTACGTTGTACTGGGTCGTCCAGGTGAGCATTATCTATGATTTCGCGTTTATGTGTTTTGCACTTAATTAGGTGTTTGTGGGTAATTCGCCTCTGGCACTCAGTACTGTGCATAAAGTAAGATAATCGGAATCTATGCTTAATGTGACCAAAGATTTATTTGGTTGCACGGTATAGATTTTACAATTATTAACAGGAATGAAATTCGGATATCAAGACGAATATAAAAAATATAATTAATGGCTTCATTTCTTTATTTATTCTGAACGTTTGGAATAAAGCTTTTTGTTTACTTATTCTTTGGAACGTTCCTGATGATATGCTAACGTATATTTCAAACGCTTTCTGTTTATTCTGGCTGGATTATCTGGAATGTATAAAGAAACGCAGCCAATATAAATTCGCCTTGTTTAGATATGTGAAAAAGCAACGGGAATGCGGTAAAGATATGCATATATCGCACGATTAATAATAAAGATAATTATTTCAAAACATTTTGTGGGAAAATGCAATCAAAGTAGTTAACATACAAAAAAACAGATGGAAAGACATCTTCGACATCTGTTAGACAAAACTAAATATCCGTTTCAAGCTTTTTAATTGAATGATGGAATCTTCCAAAACGTTAACGTTAATATATTTTAAACGTGCGATATGGTTTAAGTAGTTTCTTTATTCATTGAGCCGTTTAGGGTCGTTTTTGCATTGTGGAGTTAACTTACGATTAATAGTTAACATGCCAATTATACACACATTTTACTTCCGGATGAGTGCTAATTTGCCAATGTAAAAAGGCAATGATTATTAAAATTAAATAATTTCCCCTTTCATTAATTAACTTTATGAATTTCATTTAAAAGCCTTTGTTTTCAATTTCAGGTTACAATGTTGCACATAGGAAGCGCAAGTCTGGAACAGTTGGCTTCCCACACCGCCTTACAAAGGAAGATGCCATGAAGTGGTTCCAACAGAAATACGACGGCATTATTCTCAATAGTAAAAAGTAAATAATACCAACGTTTGAAATATAACTTTTTTTTTTAAACTTACTTGGTGCATTTTTATTGTGTTAACACAACATATCGTCATTATAATGTGTCTCTAAAAAGTATAAAATTTGCGCCAGTTATTGATTTTTTTTTTTAGAAAATAACATAAAAAATCCGACAAATTTATGACCTACCCTTTCTCCTTTTTGTGAAGTCGGTTAAAAACATATCTTTCAGGCAGTTTTTAACCGACTTCCAAAAAAGGAGGAGGTTATCAGTTCGTCGGAATATTTTTTTTTTTTTTTTTTAATGTATGTTACCGCATAACTTTGGACCACGTCAACCGATTTGGATAATTCTTTTTGCATCGGAAAGGTAGTGTCTCAGAGGTGGTCCCATACTAATCTGGTTAAGATCCGATCAGCGGATCATGAGATATATATATATATATTTTTTTTTTATATGGGAGTTGAAGTCTGTTTTTTTTTGCTAAAAATTACTAGTTACAATTCGCTTCGGAGTGAATTTCAACCAAAGTCACTTTGGGGCAATTCATCTAAACGGGTTATTAACCAGGTGGAATTTACTCGTTTTGAATTCAAATTGAATGGGGTTAACAATTAACTCGGAAGTTAATCGCGGGTCTTAATTAATTTTCTTTCGAAACTGCTTTGTACAAAAATCGCTCGATTACTAAGGAGCTAATAGGTATAATAAATTTTTAAATTATTTATTAAAAAATAAACTTGCAACTGAAAATCTTTAGATTTTATAACTAACAACCCGTTCGATAGTTGTCCATACAATGGTGACGATATGCCTGCATACAAAAAAGGTCGAAGTAATTGTACAGGCCAATGGCGTTTTAAACTCCAGCAGCGCTATACAAATATACAACTTAAACTGGTTTTTCTAATAAGGCATCGTATTTAATTTTGGATTTATAAATAACATAAAAAATAAAATATTAATTTGCGTAGATATTAGGATCACTGGTAGGTGTCAATTAAGGCATTCAGAACGGTGGCAAGGCCCATAGTGTTGATGTTTTATCAGCCGAAGTGGAGAGGAAGGAGAAATCAGTCGGATGCCAACGTGCTGAAATAGCTTTATCGCTGTGCTGTGCAACTAACACAGATGGAAGGGGAAGGGTTAGATCGCCTTGTAAATCAGTAAGTACAATATTATTGTCATATCCACATGTAAGTAAATAATATGCCGAGGGAGAAAAACGTATCGATCTGCAACAAGTATAAATATTTCGTAAATGCGAAAGCAACTAATTCAAATATTCATTTAAAACGCACCTTATATCCGAAGTATGTGGTTGAAAGCATTGTATCGGCCTGTTTCCACGTATATCGAAAAGCACACAGGCACTATCCTCGTGACCAGAAACAAGTAAACGGCCAGAGGGATCAACACATACTGAAGCGACAGGTGAACCAAATGTAGACCCCTGAAGTGTTATTGGAGCTACTGTGTTTACACATTCATTGGTTCGTAAATCCCAAAAACGAACTGTTTTGTCCTAAATCATTAAAAAAACATCAGTCTAAATTTTATAGGTGGTAAAAACAAATTCATTTTAAGAAAATGTTCAGTCATCAAAACAAAACTATTACAAAAGAATTTGTTTCACAATGATATAAGAGCTAATAATAAACTCACCTGCGATCCTGAAACAAACATAACACCTCCCCAGTTATATAAAGACAGTATATGTCCGCTGTGACCACTGAGCGCCTGATAGGGGGTTGCAGTTGCACAATCTGTAACATAAATCTTACAATTGCCAGCTCCACCACTTATAAGCAGCCGTGATTTGTTTATGGAATCTTCTAAGAAGCATAGATCTCTAACTGTGCCATCGTGCATAGTCAAATCTATTTCCCGTCCCTCCAATTGTGTTTCGTCGTTATTGAAATGCATAAGCTTAACGGTTTTGTCATTGGAACCCGTTGCTATAAGTAGCCCATCTGCCGACCATGCTGTACAGTAAATTGAGCCTTTATGGTGTTTTGTGCGTTTAAATAAAACAGTAGGCTGTTGTACTTCCTGAAACTTTCTAAATAGAGTAAAAGAAAACGTATTAAAATTAGGAGTATTATAAAATCAATTGAAATATTTACTTTAGTTCAGACAATTGCGGATATTTGCAAATTCGAAATGTTTTCGAATTTGATCCGACAACATATAACTTTCCATTCGGATGAAATTCGGCGCATCGAACAGCTTGGACATCTGTTAAGGTAGTGACGGGTACAAATCTTGGGCGTTTTGATTCGTTCTATATTTTAGAAATACAAAAATATGCGTAATTAGTAATTGAATACATTATATGTATGCCTATAATATCAATCAATATAGCAATAAATTTTATATATAAACACAACAGTTTTTGCTTTTGTGTACACAGATACACCCATAAAGCACCTGCATCTACATATTTACATTAAACGCATGAATATGCAGTACACTGTACACTAGATACAAAGCTAGAAATTTACAGCACAAGTAAATAAGAACTCATTCCGAAACATGGCTAAATACTCACCTCGTTAGATGCTTTTGTTTTTCCCGAAATCATTTGCAATTATAATGCACCTATTTTTTATTAACGGAAATTTATTACTGATTTCACTCCTAACCTTCGATTATGACGTACTTTACTAACTATGTCAAGATTGGAGAAACTATGTGGTAGTTGAACCATGCTTCGCTGTTGTTGTATGGGAAAGTATCTTTCACCTGGCTGTAGCTTTTGATTTAGCAGTTTTTATTTAATCTAATATAATAATCTGTTTTTATTTAATATTTAAAAAATAAGATTTGTATATAAGTATGTATGTATGTAATAGCGAAAATATGAATATCAAGCCAATTTTTTATAAATGAATTATTGTAAAAGTTTTTAATGCGGTTCGTCATAAATTTATAAAGAAACAAAAAAGATTTAAAATGATTTATAAAGTATGACTTAACAAAGCTTTTAAACCTGGACATACAAATTTTTTTTCAAAAACTTGCAAAAAATTTTTTAAAAAACTGTCGAACACACATACATACGTTTTACTTTGGACCGTCAGCAAAATAAATTAAAAATACCAAAAATCAGATATTATACCAAAATTTAGGGCAAAAAAAAAGGTTAACCTTCATACTAAAAAAAAAAAAATCTGTTAAAAAAGGTCAAAGATTTCATTTAGTACACCCTGCAAATTGAACCCTGCCATGTTTTAATCCATATTTTTAAATGTAGGATTTTTGGAAATTTATTCATAAGCGTACCCTGTGTTTCACTTCGTTTCTTATTGTATAATCAAAACCGAGAATTTGCGAAAAATGTTTAGGTTAAAAATACCTCGCACACAATTCAAGTTTGGTATCCAAATATGTCGAAATTATTTATCACATGAATATAAAAGCGTTTTAAGTGAATTTGAAATAACTGCAGCAGACGTAAATTATGCGCGTACCAAGAGTTCGCCGGCGCAAGGAGTTATACGGATTGACATAGTGAATGGCATTGCACATGATAACAGGAACAACGAATTCAGTGAAACATTTCTGAAGTTGCGTTCAGAACCACAAAAGGCAACTGTATTCGAAGCCACGAATTATGCTATATTCCGAAACTTCATTGATAACGAAAATTTAGATGAATTATTGGCCAACGTCAAGAATCGACTGCAAAGCGGTTTATTCGTAGATGATTTCATCGGTTGTTATCTTTTGAATCATTTTCTGCAAGAGCAAAATTATTTGGCTGCTACTGAAATTGGTTTGGAAATCTTTAAACAAGACACTTTGGACAATAAACTACTAGTCAGTTTAATGTTAAAATCGTTCTTTGAATATTTAAAGCAAAATCTTGAACAAATTGCTACACCTTTGGTTAAGGAAACAAAACCAACAAAAAAAAAAGATGAGGTGGGTATGCTTTTATGATAAATGTATAATAAAATCGGACTTATAACTTATTTTCCTAGGTAAAAGTACGAGTGAAATTTCTTCGAAATACCGAGGATGGTCAAGATTTACCTACCCAGATTGGAAGAGCTATTTGTAAAATATCCCAGTTGTACTCGAATCACGTCACTTCCAACTTTAAATTATTAGGAAGTTTGTTGGCTAATAAAAATGATTTGGCCACATCGCTTTTGCTAGCAACTAATACTAATTTCTGTAAGGACACGTTACAATACAGTCAAATTCTGCTAAAAAACAAGAAGGGCGTGGATGAGAAACTAGTAAACGCCATAAATTCTAGTTTGGAACAAACTACAGATTCCAAAATGCTGCATGATCTTCTGTCATCGTTTTTAGAAGCGGTTAAAAAAGAAGAGGAAGTAAAACTAATCGAGCAGCAAAAAAACAAATACGCCGCATGGAAAGAACAAGATGTTGTAGAAAGGAATAAGAGTATAAACGGAGTGCCATCTGGTCAGCGAAAAGAAAATATTGACCAAATCTTAACAGATCTGGCTCAGAAGAAGCAAAAGCTTTGGTATTTTGATAATGAGGAACTAATTGATCTTGAAATATTCAAAAAAAATAAAAGCTACCCCAAGAGATGGTTTGGAAAGAAGAAAAAGCCTAAAGTAGTTGATGACAATTACGTTCCACCTGAAATAAGAAAAATAGCATGATACAAAATTTGAATTAATATTTTTATCATGGAAAAATAGTAAAAAAATAAATGTTTGTTTTCTTTTTTGTAAAGGCCCATCTACATAGAACTTTCGCGTTGGCTATTCCTTTGGTGGTGGTTTGACAGTACGCCCGTTCAAAGTATGCTGGCTACAATGAACGCTTGGTAGCTAATGCTTTGCCCAATAAATTTACATGCTAACGACAGATAAATTCATATCATTCACATCAATAATTGCATGAAAAGCTATAGATAGATAGATAGGATGATGCCGTATGCAGAACCGGCGAAGGTCATTTAGTCGTATCCTCAGCTTGAATATAAAGATGTCTTGTTGTTGTTGTTGTTGTAGCGGCTACAACAACCCCGCCCAGATCGGTAAATATCTCAGTCGCTGTCGTCAAGCTCCACTAACGGAAGCCCTAAGAAGCGTGCAGCCTCAATAGGGCCGATCCACAGGGACAAAGGCGTTAGGGTTTTCGGGTTTTCCGGGCATATGAAGGGATGTTTCGAGTCATGGGGTGTCTCTCCGCATGCCGTATACTCATTTGAGACATCTGCGTCTAATCTGCGTAGGTATGAGTTTAACCTGCTGCAGTAGCCAGAGCGAAGTTGGGCTGTTGTGGTTCTCTTCTGGTGAGGCAGATGAAGCTCCGTCTCGTCAATGTCTGGTGGTTGTGCGCCTAGAACGGCATTCACAGGTCTGGAGTCTACATAACTCGAGATTGACGGGTCCAGAGGTTGTTTAATGAACGTCAGTTCGTAGAGATGCCTCCTGACGTGCTTGGGCGAGGGCTCTTCAGCAAGCAGTTGTCTATTTGGGTGACCACGTTTATGGCTCTCAATAGATGCCCTCTTAGTCTGCAGTGTCCTGTAAGAAAACCTGTTAGTATTCTCAGCTTCTTCCTTCTTGTTATACCCGCCCAATAGGCTTTTTGTCTGACACATTCCTACCGAACTATACCAGTTCGAGTCCCTCATATTGTTCCTCTCCTCCCTGAGCTCTTTTCTAATAGTGTTGGGACCCATTTATATTAAGGGCTCAGGGCCAACTGGAGTAATGGCTGCCACCTCTCTTGCAATCGGTCCGCCGCTTCATTTCCCTCTATTCCCATATGGTCAGGAACCCACGCCAGTCTGATGTTATTGTGCATACCAAGGGAGTTGAGCCTCTCTATGCACTCAAGGACCAGAGACGATTTGATTTCAAAAGATTAAAGAGGCTTGAGTGCCGCCTATCTGTCACTTAAAATTACATTTCTCTCATTACAGTATCCTCTGTTTACGATGGTCTCCGCACACAAATAGATGTCGTAGATTTCTGCTTAAAATATGCTCGGGTACTTCTCCATAGGAATGGAGATCCTGGTCCTGGGTCCAGAGATTCCAGCCCCGATTCCTTCTGGGGTCTTCGAGCCGTCTGTGTACCACTGCAGTGTACTAACTGAGTAAAGTTCTTTTGGCGACCTGCTCTATGGTTATATAAAGGGGCTCCAGTTCAAGGACCACTTCCAGCGCTGTCGTGCGTATTGCTCTCGTTGTGCATACACATGCCAGTCTTTGTAGCTTAGCGAGCGATTGTCTCACGGTAACCAGAGTGATTGTTGAAACCCAAGCCACTGCCCCATATGTTGCTATTGGCTGTACTATCAGGGTGTAAAGCCATCTTAGGATCCTGGGGCTACATCCCCAGGATTTTCCCGTCAGACGCTTACACACCGTTAATGCTTATGTGACCTTGGATGGGGTCGCATCCACATGTTTCTAGTATGGGTCAAATGAATAGACATCAGCCGTTTTTGGCCGATTCATGAATGAGGCCGATACTTCGGCCGATTAAATTCTGAAATCCATTTCAAGAACAAATTTTAATAATAATAAAAAAACATAATCAAATAACTAAATAACAATACCTCATTCAAGAATCAGCCAAAACCAGCCGATTCCGATTCCTTAGGCCGATAATAGCCTCGGTCTCGGCCCATTGCCCGGTAGGGCCTTTTTCCTAGTAAATGGAACGATGGCGGTTTTTGGCTGGGTTTATACTAAGCTCTAACTTGGCACACTACTCCTTTGTTAATCTTAAGCCTCTTTGAACGGTGTCGCAGAGGGTGCTCTCAAACCTCTCTCTAGGAAATGATCACTAAATCGTCCGCATAGCCTTGGTAGCGGATACCACTGTTCATCCACTACTAGGCTCCATAGATGGAGAGATACCACCATTTCTCGACATTCAAAGGCCTGCCGAATCCCCGTTGCCAGTTTGTACAGATTTGTGTCCGTGGACCTTCCAATTCTGTATGCGTGCTTATATGGGTGTTGCCTTGAGAATGTTATATCTGATATAGTTGACCACTATCTTCTCCATTGCCTTCAAAACAAAGGAGGTTAGACTTATTGCTCTGAATGGCTTCGCTAGCGAATAATCTCTTTTACCCACTTTCGGGATAAATATTACTCGTGAACTTCAGCACAACTGTGGAATGTAAGCATCCGCAAGAGTGCTTCTCATTATGTCCACCAGGTGCAGTGTTAGGTTCTCTCCACCCTGTTGAAGCATGACTGGCCGGACGCCATCCCACCCCTAGGGCTTTAAATCGCTCAAACGAACCCAGCGCCCATCCGACTGAATACTAGGTGAATATACTTCTGGCCAGTTTCCATTCAGATGGTCGCGGCCTGGCCTGCCAAATCTCTGGCTTCAGTTCAATGGGAGTGGCCTCCGGGAAGTGAGTCTCAAGCAGAGTGGTAGCCCTCTCTTCCCAGCTTCGAGTGTAGGTGCCGTCACTGCGTTTTAGCGCAAGTTACGTTTCTCACCAGTTCCTCTGGCTAGAACTTTGTGTAGCCTCGCAGCTGCTGGGGTTTTCGAAATACCTTCACAGAAGGTTCTAAAATAGGGCTCCCTTCGCCTTCCTAATCTCCTTTCTGTAGATCGTTACTTTAGCTGCATACTCATACCAATCTCCTGTATATTTAGCTTTGTTGAAAAGTTTGTGTACCTCTTTCCCGAGCGCTGAAAGCTCCCTTAACTACCATGCGGTTTTGGTCGTCACTTTCGGTTTGGTCTCAGGGCAGCTATAGTTACAGGCATCGGTCATTATGTCCGTTAGCCTGTTAG